CCCTTTGTCACTAAATAAACAGTTGGCAGAATTTTCATAAACTAGCAAAGACAGCAAGAATGCAAACATCAATTTATTTTATTATAACTTGTAATTTCTAATTATAAACAGAGTTTCTGCTTGTGTTCACCCTACACTGGAAATTTAGGATGGTAAAGAAGGGATGTGGCTATCTTGAGTGTAACCTCCAGAGTAGGAGGAGAAATAAAGGTCAGGAAAGTTTCATTGTACTTGGATTATAGAGGCAGACAAGTACTGGGCAAGTACCTATGAGAAATGGAAATCCTAAGAGCCCAGATGTCTATTATGTTCCTGCGATTCTTGTCTGTGACATTTTTTGCTGGAGAAACATTGCAATTAAGTGTGATAAGGCTCTCTGGGAAAAGCCAACTGGAAAGCATAAAACATAAGTATAAATGAGTAAGTAGTTGAAGATTCTAACAATTTTAAATCATAGCACTAAGCTAAAAAATTGAGCAATTTATACCTGGAAAAATAATTGAAGATCATCCATAATAAAAGCTTAGAAATAAATATGACTGAGTCAATAGTGTACCTTTAAAATTAATCAAAGACCTTAAAATTCAGCATATTGATTGATACAGTAAGAATATATAATATATATGTATATATACTGACTGAAAGAATGGATGGTGCTGAAGGGAGAATTAGTGACTTGGAAAATGAAATTGAGAAATTATAAAATGTAGTTCAGAGGATCTACCATTATTTCTTATAGACAGTTTTGTTCTTTTCAACCTATTGCTTGAATTTTTAATAATGATAATTTATTTGTGTACTTAGATATAAATAAAAATAAATATAATTTGTTTTAAAAGCAAAGTCCATAAGAATAATAAATGCTCATATACAATACTTTGGAAACACAAAAATACTAAATGAAGTAAAGTACTATCCTAAGAAATAAAACAATCAATGTTCATTGTATACTTTTCCCTTATTATTATTTTTCTTCATTTATACTGTATTTTAGTGACTTACATAAATGAATTCTACATGTTGTCTGTTTTGATCATTTTAATTAAAATATATGTTGGCCCAAAGTGATCAGTTCAGTTTTAGTCAATACCATTGTTTAGATTTACTCCAGAAAATAAAATGTAAGATAATTTGTTGTGGCAGTGATGGTTTTAGGCACTAAAAATCTTTCAAACAATCCTATGCAAACTATTTATATTATTTATTTTTATGGTTGTATTCTTGTTATATCATTTTATTAGATACACCTATGGCAAACCTGTGGAGGGGAAAGTTCACCTTAGTGTATGCAGGGCATCTACTTTTTATGGTACTTGTGGACCTCTCAATTCACTCTGTAAAAACTTTACTCTTCAGGTAAGAGGCACATCTACAAAATCATAAATAACTGTGCATTAACCTTATGACCTCAGCTTCCATTTACCTTCCTTTCTTCTTGTTTGTCTCTTTAGAATTAAAAATTATACTTCTCTTCTATATACCTATTTCCATTTTTAAAATTTCTATTGTTTTTTTCTTGCTAATTTATCATGTTCTATTAAATGACAAAACACAGATTGTATTACTGGAAAGCTCTAGAGTAAATTTTGATTAATTAAAAATGAATTTGGTTCCATAT